ACCCACAGGTTTTTCACAGGCTGTGCCTACTCAGCCATCAACAAGAAGTGGGGGCCTTGTTTGTGGCTGATGCTTTAACCCCAATCCCCAACAGTACCCTAGGATCCTGCTTCTGCTGCCTGTGGGCCAGGAATTCAGAGGATCACCAAAGGTCAGGCCTTGAGCACTCCCTTCTCACAGTGGGACAGTGAGGTAAGAGGGAAGGAAGGGGTTACTTGCTTCCTGGACAAAGAATCTCAGAACACCAGAAGGACCCGAGAGAACCCTCCAGCCTGCTGATGTCCCACTACATGCATGTCCCTAAGCATCTTCCAAATCAAGAGAGCAGTGCACACATATGCGTGCACACACACGTGTGCACACACACACATATACAGCATAGTGCTCTTAAATTTCTAGTTCTCAGGAATCTAGAAACCTGCATTTGGGTCTCCAGAAGCTGCACATCTATCTAGCATCCTCCCTCTGGTTAAGGACACAATCCTGAACTGCTGCTCTCTCCCAGCCTCTCTCCAAGAAGCACAGGGGGCACAGCTAGGAAGGGTCCATTAGGGGAGAGAAGACTAAGCAGGGTCCCCACTCATGACCATGAGGACCATGACCTGATGCAGAGGGGAGTTGGGTTCCCCACCCCAGTCCTGGGCCACGGCCCACTGGAGCATCTGGCCACCTTATAAATTGTTCAGGTGCCTCAGACACAAAGAAGTCTGCTTGGAGATTTTCAGAATCACATGCAGTCTCATAGTCTTCAGGCATTTGTTGAGTGACAACTAAGTGCAGGACACAGGATGTGAAAAAAAAGGCCTGACACAACACTAAAGACACAACACTAAAGGGGTTTTGGTTTCTCTAAAGCTGCTAAGTATAAAAATGGATTCATAGCACAATGACAGGGCTTCCTCAAAGCCCTTAACAGGACAGTGTGCAGCTCTGGGCCACCAAGGACTGTGGCGGGCACACAGCCACAGAAGACACGTGTCCAGGCCTCAGGGTCCCCCAATTCTGTCCCTATCAGAAGAACCACATCACCAAGAGGGCACCTTCAGGGTGGATCAACACTAGAAAATTCATGATGTTTGCATCTTTAGCTGCATTCTTGGGAAGAAGCAAGTGCAACTTCCTGGCTCTCGGTGTAAACAGCAGGTTCAGGGTAACAGCTACATTGACCGAAAGTTCTAGAATTGGTCATCAGATCAGCACTAAATAACTTAAAGCATGATGACTCGTGGCCGCCACTCCAGTTAGGGGGCCTCTCTGGGTCCCTGCACTCACATCATGGCCCTTCTAAGCACAGAAGTCCCCCTAAGTCGCTAGAGTGGCCAGACCCCAAGGGTGGGGTCCTGCATGAAGCCCCCATCGTGTCCTGGCCCCCTCCCTCCTCTCCTCATTGCTGCCTGTCTAGTTCTTCTGGTTTGTCACTGTCCTGGTGATACAAACTCAGGAGATGACTCACTCATAGTGACAAGAGGAATGGTGGAAAGTGTCGGACGGAAGGAGCCATGATTGTCACTTATTTGTCATCTATTTATCTCTGTCCAGGCCCTATGCTGGGAGGCGATGCGGTCAGCTCAGAGTCCTGCCTGCAAAATGGAGCCCGTAGAGAGTGTTGGGGGGCGGAATTCAAATGGCCTCCCTCAAACAACCAGGAAAGACCAATACCTGGCAGGATTCTATTCTGATTTCTGAATCTCTGGGGTTAAAATATAGGTGCCCTAGTGATTACTAAACAGGGACCCAGGACCAGGACAAGAAGCCATAGCATAGGGCACTCTGGAACCCCTGCACTCCCAGCTGCCTCTCAGGGCAGGTAGTGGGATTTCTGGAGGCCTGGGACCCCAGGTATGCACTGGCACTGGGAGAGCAGAATCTCTGTTGGGGCTAGAGGAAGCTGTGGGTGTTCAGGCTGAATGGCAGCCAGGACCCCTCAGAGCATCAACCTCAGAAAGCAAGGGAGCCCAGGTCAAAGGGCAAAGCTGAAGTGGTGAACTCCAGCCCTAAATCCCCACCCCTTGGAAGACACTCCCCCCGCCCAACTCCTTGATTGGAGCCTAGAATGGCTGAGGGGCTCCTTGGCAGGACTCCCAAGCCAAGGAGACTAGAGGTCCACACTTTTGGGTCTCTATTTCTTCATTTAAATTAACGCAATAGGTCTGCTCTTGTGATGAGCAGATGGGGTGCCTGCCAGGTCCCCCTGAAACCCAGAAGCTGCAGCTCGAGTGGGTAGGAGGAGAAGGAGTCCTCAGCTGACTCCTCCGCAGTTTGGCACCTGTCCCCTGAAGCGCTGGCCCTTCGATCTCAGCCTCACCAGAGCCATTCTCTCCCCTGCTCTCTCCAATTCACCTGCAGTCTGTCAGCAAATCCTGCAGCTCTACCATCTCCAGCCTCCACTGCCCGCCCAATATTGGCCATTCCTGGTAACCACAAGGGCTCCCGCAGGTGTCTCTGTTTCTGTCTCTACTTACTATCTGTCAACTCCCTGTACAAATGCAAATCCTGGCCCTGGCCAGCTAGTGCAGTCACCACAGCCTTTCCAGCCCTACAGGTCCCACCATTTTCTGTCCCGTCTCCCTGGTCTCATTGCTTCCTTAGCCAACTGCACCCCCATCCTTGCTTTTGCTCCCTTGAGTCCTTCTGGCCTCTGATAAATGCCCTTTCCCACAGGGACCTCCTTCAACTGCCTGTGCAGGGTACCCTCTGGGTGCCCAACACCCCTACCCTGACCTTTGTCTGTTCTCCAGGGATGCATCAGTGGCAAGTAGGCAGGGTCCTGCTTTAATGCTGGGCCCTTGTGCCCCACAGTGCTTGTTGATGAATGCATAGTCCTGAAGGGTGGGGGGGGGGGAGTGCTGGTGCCCAGAATACCAGGCAACCTGCCTGTATTTTCTCTCCCCAGCCAATAAGAAATAGAGTTGGCTGCAAAGAGCCTCAGCCGCCTACTCCAGGGCCAGCACTCCAGTGACCTCATCCTGGCCCCGTGGAGGTGTGATAGGAGAGCCCACCTAGCTACCAGAGCTGCAAGACTGCAAGGAGGGGGCTCTGGAACCACAGGGTCACGAACACACTCCGACCAGCACTGAGGACCCAGCGCCGGCCCCTGTGCTCTGCAGGGCCTAGGGTGGTCAGAGGTGTAGGAAGGGAAGAGCATTTGATTGCTTCTCCTCTCAGCTTCTGGGCATTGCAGTAATGAGAGGCTCCAGGAACCTGTCTAATCCAAAAGGTGTTCTAAAATAGTGCAGAGTTTTAGCAGCAAACCAAGACTCACAGAGCACTTAGGATGTACCAGGCGCTGCTCCAAGCAGGCCTGAGATGGTGTGTTAACCCTGCCTGCTGACTCACCCAGCCCACATAACAAACCTGTGAAGGAGGTGCTACCATGACCAGGCAGAGGCCAGCTCAACTGCTCAGGGTAACATGACAAAAGGAGGGGTCACACCCGACAAAAGATCACAAAGATTATAATAACTATTAAGGGTTTCGCCAGGGCAAGATGCGGAATTCTTTCTATAAATTTAATCCTTAATACAACATGTCAGGCGGAGATACTATTATTGACTCTCATTTTATAGAAAAGTAAACTAAGGTGCACAGTGATTAAATAACTAGCCCAGTAATGAACAAAGGCAAGGGAAGTGTAGGTCAGGCTGGGTCATTCCTGGGGAAAATAGGAAGCTGGGAAGATCAGGGCCCAGCCTCTCTCACCTTCCCTTCCTTCCTGGAACCCCCTCCTTTCTGGCTCCACCCAGCAACCTGAGTGGGGGGGGGACGTCCCCCTGGGAATTCCCAGTTCCTCCCACCGGATGGCATTTGTCATTGCAGAGATCTCTTCCAAGGAAAAGCTTCCAGTCACCGGGTTTCCAGCTGAGAGTTAGAAAGTTAGAAAGGGTGGAGAGAGGCGTCTGGAGCGCCTCAGGGCCCCTGCAAGCCACTCCCAGTGTCCCATTCTTGTCTAGGGGCTGCACAAGATCTGCCCAAGGATCAGCCCAACTCTCGTGCTTTGCAGGGCAGAGACCCGGTTGCAGAGCTTGGCCAGGGAGCAACAGAGTGTCCATCGTGAGACAGACCCAGGGCTTTTAAACAGAAAACCAGGGAAGGGCTCCCTGAGACGTGCCCATCAGCTGAGGCACTCGGAAAGATTCCCAGAAGCTCTCTCAGGAATGCGCCCGGAAGCTGGCTTCTTCTCAACCCTAACGCTTCCAGGGACGCCCCCTGGGCCAGGCAGGGATCTTCACAGATCGAAGCGCTGAGCAGCTTGAGAGCTCGGGTCAATGGGGGACAGAAAACTAGACACTAGCAATCCGTTTAGGAAGCCGGCTTCCACACCGTTCAGCTTCACGCTATCCAAATTGCGTCCTCGCCCCGGGGGACCACGAACAGCCCAGCGCTCTGGATCCTCTCAGAGCACCAGGTTCGGCAAAGGCCGGGTCGAAGGTTACAGTCCGGGGCCAGGCCAATGGAATGGGGGAGGAGACCCAGGCGGGCCTGGGTCCAGAGAAGAGGGTCCGTTGTCGGGTTCGGGACGCCTGCGAGTTGCTGGACCTCGGGTTCCTCAACCCACACCCGGCCGAGCCTTGGACTCAGGCAGTGCTGAAGGTCGGCGGGTCCGGGACCGCGCGTGCTCCCATCCAAAATTCAAGCCAGGAAGGAACCAGAAGAAGGAGCCAGGTCTACACAGGCACCCTGGCTCCGACAGGTAGAGACGCTCTCCCTGGACACCCCGCTGCCCAGACGCGGAAAGTGTGCGCTGGTTTTCCAAGGAGCAAAGTCGGGCTTAAAAGTTTCTCCAAATCATAGATCGCTGCAGAGACCCAGGGCCGCCCCCTTCCCGCAGAACTCAGGTCCAGCCTTGGCCGTGGCTGGACTTGTGGTTGCAGTCAGCCTGACCCTCCCTTTCCCCGAGGTCCAGAAGCCGGAGACCCTCCCGGAGCTCCGAGGGCTCCGGGAGACCGAGGCGTGCAGTAGCCGCGCGGGCGCCACGGGAGGGGGCTCCGGCGCCGACTTACCCGGCAGGGTCCCCGCGCGCCGGCGCTCCTGCCCGTCGGATCATGCCGCCGGCGGCTCGGGGTCGCTGCTCCGCGGGACTCAGGCGTGCGGAGCGGCCCGCGGCGCCCAGGGAGCCCGCATGGCGCTGCGGCTGCCCTGGGGAGGGGCCCGGGCGGGCGCCGTCGCCAGCCCCGAGAGCCGAGTGGGGACGCCGCCGAGCGCCGGGCGCTCGCTCCCTGCCACTTCCTGTATCGCCGCGAGCGGGGCTTTCAGGAAGAGGCTGGCCTTGGTGGTCAAGGGGTTTTTTTAATCAAGGGCCATACATATTCTGGCGGCTCGCGGCCCGAGCTCCCCGGGGTACACGGAAGCCCGGCACGGCCCCCGGCAGGGCCCAAGCGCGCGACTTCGGTGCCGCCTCCGCGGGCGGGGGCTCGGGAGAGGGAAACTTAGAGCAAAGTCTCCAGCCTAGCGCGGGAAAGAGGCGCTCTGCGCTCCTGCCAGCCCCAGCTCGGGAGCCAGGTGCGGATGCCCAGAGCTCCTGGGGTGTTCTGGGTTCAGCAGGAAGCCTCGGCCTGGCCCTTCGCCCCAGAGAGCTTAGAAATGCCTCAAGAGGAGCCCAGACCTGAGTCTCTGACAGTGACAGAGTCACATCTCTGACAGGTGACATTCTCTGAGATGTCTCCACTGATGATGACCTCACCACCTAACAAGGCTGTTCCATCAAGTCTGGCATTGAATTCAGGTGTACAGGACACCACACTTAGATGAAAGCAGTGGGTGAAAGCCAGCGGGATCCCACAACCAGGCACCCACAGCAACCCCAGCAGGACGGGAGGCATCTTGTCCAAGTACCCAGGGACTCAGTGGTGCCGTCTGAGCCCACTGCCTGCCTCAGCATGTTTGAAAGTGATTGAGTAGCACTGGTCCCTCTGAGGCCGCCTCAACCAAGGCAGGGTTTCTCTGTTTAGACTCTAGGAGTAGCTGGGGCCACACAGTGCTTTGCTACTGGGGCTGCACTGTGCACTGCAGAGTGCTCGCCACCGTCCTTGGCTTCACCCAATGGTATAACACCTTCATGTCGTAGATAAGGAGACTGGGGCCAAGAGAGAGGAAGTGACCTGACCACAGTCACGCAGCAAGCAGAGGCAGACAGGACCAAAGCCCAGTGCTCTGGTGAATGCACTGCCAGCCCCCTCCACCCTGCATACCTTGGCCAGGCTGCTAGCCCTAGCCCCACATCCCTGTCTTTCCTGGAATTTCCCTCAGTTCAGCCCTTCAGAAGTTAGAGAGGAAAGAATCCCAGTATCTGAGCATACATTAAACGTACCACCTCCTGGTAGGAATGTGAAATGCTGGGCAGCTGCTCTGGGGACTAAGCTGGCAGGTCTTCAAACAGGACATAGTTACTCTATGAGGCAGCAGCTGCATGCCTAGGAATATACCTAAGCGACGTGAAAACACCTCCATACAAAAGCTTGTGTGAAATCCTTCACGTCAGCCTTACTCATAATGGCAAGAGGGGAGGTAACCCAATGTCCCCGAGCTGGTAGGGGATAAACACAATGTGGTATATTCATGCACGCCTGGTCATTCAGCCAGGAAAAGGAGTGGAACCCTCAAGATACACTTGCTGTAAGAGGGATGAACCTTGAAAGCATGCTAAGTTGAAGGCACTAGTCATGAAGAAGCTCATTCCATTTACATGAAGTGTTTGGAACAGACAAATTCACAGAGGCAGAAAGTAACTTGGTGGCTGCCAGGAACCGAGGAGTAGAGAGTGGAGAATGCCTCGTCATACTTACAGGATTTCTTTTGGGGGTGATGAAAATGTTCTAAAATTGATTGTGGTAATCCTTGCACAGCTTTGTGGCTATACTAAAAACCGTTGAATTATACGCTTTAAGTGGGTGAATTGTGGCATGTGAATTGCATCCCAGTAAAGCTATTATTTTAAGAAAACACACAAAAAGCGTGGCCCCCAGGAGGCCACCCTGGCTGCGGCGGCCATACCACTGTAATCCAGATTCCTCCAGATCTCGATTGCTAGGTCATGACCAGGCCCCAGTGACTTCTCTCCTCCAAGGCTAAGGCATCTCAGATCACTTTTCCACCGTTTCCCTTGAGAGGACTGTAGCTTCCTGTTTGAAAAGTGAGCACTGAGGACAGATCCAAGCTGAAATCTAACCTCAAGGCCTTCTAGCTGGGTGGCCTCGGCTGGACCCTTCCCAGAACCTCGCTTGCTCACCTGTGACAGTGTTGAGAACAAGTGAGATGACTAATAGAGCACGATGATTGTCTCTTGCTGTTCCTAAAACATGCCCGCAAGCCATCCCCAGCCCTCCCTGAGCCCGTCTGTGGTCCACCCAACTGCTGTGCCTGGAATGGTCCTTCAGTCCCTTCTAGACTATCTCTGACCAAAAGGAAGCCCTGCCACCACTTCTGACCCCAAAAAGTCTTCCCTCAAGCATCCTGAATCACTCCTGGGGAACAGGACAGGGCCCTCAGAGCTGGGTTCCAGGGGACCAGCCCCAGGCTCCCATCACATCCCCATGGAGTCCCCCTAAAAGCCCCACTGCTCACCTGTTCTGAGAAGCCAGAACTCCTCAGGTGGACACCACATCAAGCCCCATGGTGACCCTGTTACTGACAGCAGACTAAGACAAGACTACCAGGATTCCAGAAATCTGAGCAATTGCTGTCAGCTAAGGCCTCTGCTGAATCCTGACCAGACATAAGGTCTGGCCAATCAGAGCCCTGCATTCACCAGTCACAATGATTGGTTCATGGATGAACATGTGACTCTACTTGACCAATCAGATCTTTCCCTGGGACTGGCTGGTGCTATCAGAAAATACTTCAGTCTCCCTTAAACCCCAAGGTAGATTTAAACTGGGAGATTACAGATTTGGGGCCACTCTATGCCACCATATAGTGTAGTTCTAACTCAGGGATGGAGCCAAGATATAGGAAAGCAATGTGGACAGAGATTCTGCCCTAGGGACCTCCTTTGAGGCTTGGATTCTAACATGCTTATAGACATGTCCACAGTTAGTCCTTAGTTAAAAGCACCAATAACATTCCTTCTTATTTACTTTTCCTTTCTTAAAAATGCAAACTCAGTTGGGCATGGTGGTGCATGCCTATAATTCCAACACTTGGGGTGCTGAGGCAGGAGGATCACTGAGAGTTGAGGCCAGCTCGGACTGTATAGTGAGTTCCAGGCCAGCCTGAAGCATATGTCAAGACCCTGTCTCAAAACACAAGCCAACCAACAGCAAACAAACAAACAGAAATCAGCAGCAAACTCATCTGAGGCAGGCTTCTGTTATTGGTCAGTAGAAGATTTCAGATTCTGCACGGTGACAGCTCCACCCCGCATCTTCCATTCTTTTGTTAGGTTCTTCATCCGCTCCTGGCACCCTCTCGGTCCTCAGAGGTGAGAGCAATAGCCTGGGTCCTAGATAGGAACCCAGGAACTTTTAGGGGGAGGGTCAGTCTGCGGAAAGCCAACTCTGAGCCTCCTGGGAGTGTTTAGGGGCTGTTAGTAAAGAAAAATGGCTCACAACACTGTCTTGTTTTTCAGACCCCCCAAATTTTGCTGAGTTGGAAACGGCATGTCCTGTCAACAGAAGTTTCCCTGCTCTGAAGTGTGTAGGAGCAGGGATTTGAGCCAAGCTGCCAGTGATCAAATCCCTTGCTTTGCCTCTCTGGGGGTCAGTTTGCTCATGTGACAGTTGGGGTAGTCATGGCACCAACCTCATAGTGTGGCTGTGTGTTGATAGTGTTAATGTAGGAAAGGTGCTTTGGACACAGCATACGGTGGGTGGTCAGTATTTATACTGACTGTTATTTATATTATGGTTAATGCCTTCAATAAATCAGTCGGGTTTTCTAGTGGCTTTTCTGATTAGGATAATTCAAAGAGAGTTTAAGAAATGTGTAAGCAGGAACATGCAAGAGAGCATGCCATAGCCCTCAGATTTGTTTCCATCTTGAACCTAGAAGATAAGGAGTACAGTGGCTACCAGATCCAGAAGTAGACAGACCTGTCCTGTAGAAGGACCGCAGTGGAGGAGTGGCACACCTGCTCATGGCCACCCCAAGGGATCCAGCGAGCAAAACAAATGCTCAGGCTCTCTGTGCTCCCTACAGCCCCCTGCAGTAGCCTCCAACTGCCAAACCTGACCGGAAGCAAGTGACATGGTATCCATTGGTCAGCTTATGGGGGTCCACTGGGGTATGGGCGAGGTTAAGCCAAAATGGCAAAGCTATAGAGTGATAGTTGCTGTCTCCAATCCCGTGGCCTCTGGCTGTGAATTGTGAACAAATCCACCAAGACACCAGATATGGGGCCTAAGCCTCTGGGACCCTCCAGCCCAGCTGGTCTGTTGTTAGCTCACTGCCACATAGTAATCCTTGTCAGTGTCCCACTGGACGGAAGTATCAATAGACGAGCCTGAGTTCCTGACTGGTAAAACTGATAAAGTTGGTTTATCAGTTATCAGGTAAAGTTTAGCATAAATTTGGTAAGAACTACAATACAGTTGAATGCTGTTTAGGATACATTGTTTTGCAAAAGTAGATCAGCAGAACTCAGCTCCTCTTCTGTTGTTTCCATCTGCTGACTCCCAACCAGCTCGAATATTTCCATTTCCTGTGACTTTAGAGAAATGGCCATGGGGCGGAGAAAACTCTATTACTACATAATCGGTCTGTGTGGTTATGGTCAGATGGGAGCAAAAATCCCTGTTCCTATTGGACGAGGGTCTGGGATGAGCTGGGATGACCTCTGGCAATAAGCAGCTGCCTCTCTGGTCCCACTGACGGTGGTGTGGCAGGAACAAGGGTCAGACATGCAGGTCACAGCCCCTTGAGCCTGAGGGCCAGGCGGGGGTCTCATCTGACGTACTCATTGGCTTACGTGAACAAGGAGGCCGTGTTGGCCCTACGCTTAGTGGGTGATTGTCTCCCAGATCTTGGGGAGGGGCTGAAACTTCATCAAAACTAAGATACTGTTGGAAAGAAGGAAGAACATGAATACTGATATTAGAAGATAATACTTGGCCAAGCCATTTGTAGAGACACGGCCATAAGCTCGAGACCACACAGGAAGAAACTTGGGATTGATAGATAAGTTCAGTATCTTGATTGTGGTGATGGTTTCAAGGGTATAAGACTACATCAAGCCTTGCCAAATTGTGCACTTATTCTTCTACAATTATTGTACGTCAGTTTTATTTCAAAATAGCAGTTTTAAAAAGTATGTCATCTCCGTAGCCAATGTTGTAAAAAGCATTAAAAAATTCTCAAAACAGTTCTAGTGTTTGTTTTGTTTTTCTTTTTGAGACAGGGTCTCATATGCAGTCCAGGCTGGCCTTGAACTCACTATATGACCAAGCTGGCCTCAGAGTTATGGTGATCCTCCTGCCTCAGCCTCCAGAGTACTGGGATTACAGGCGTACACCACTACGCCTGGCTTCTTCCAGGTTTCTGAAACTGTTATCCAGTTCCACAGCAAAATCACTCATCTCACTGATGAATGGGTGAAGTTCTGACTTAGGTCTTTTTTTTGTTGTTGTTCATTCATATTGTTTAGTGGAAATAAAAATGCATTCACTTCTAACGTTCAAGTCACAGGTTGGTACAGAAAGCAGAGTTTGGCACAGCACCTGCTTGGCAAGCGCAAAGTCATGGGTTCAACGCCTGGTACAAAAAAAAAAAAAACTTGGCAAAAATCAGTGACAACATTCTGTGATTATTTTGTGGAATTTATAGTAGGGGTGTTATGTATTTTGTTAAACAAACAAAGCCATCAGTTATAGGCATAATTCAAGTGGCTCTGACAGCAGGGCCATGGAGGTCGGCAGGAGGGACTCACCCCACGCCCTCCCACCTACTGAAGACCAGGCAGATCAGGGAGGCCAGAAGAGGAATGGCGGGGTGACCCTGCAGGGAGCCTTGAAGACTCAGAGGGACGCTGGCGTGGGCAGGGCCTTGGGCAGTGGTGCAGGTGGCTTCCCGCTTGCTGGGCTGTCCCTCCTCCGCGTTGGCAGCACTGGGAGTGAGCGACCGGAAAGAGACTTTGAAACAGTGACCTCTTGGAAACAAAGCCACATTTTTGACTGGAGGCCGATGATTCAGCATGAGCAGCTCCTCATCGCTCAGCTGGCTGGCCCCCTCCAAGTCAAGCCCGGAAGCCGGGCTGTGCTCTGGGAAGCAGAGTTCCTGCTGGGTGCAGGAAGCTGCGGTCCTACTGTGTGCCAGGGTTGCAGGGCAGGCTCCAGGGACCAGAACACATTGGGTATGATTTGTGCCACCTTCTCCAGGAATTTGTGTTTGGGCAGGCAGTCTATAAGTATGACTCATTCATGTACTGTATGGCTAGAGTGAGGGCCCTTGGGATAGCCGAATAAATATGGAAAAACTATACACACAGTATTAGTTACTATTGGGGGCTGAGGCAAAACAAATGAGCTGCTAATTCAACAACTTTAAATGACAATGACTTTTTATAAATCTCTTATATAACTTTCGTGGGTTAAGACCTTGGGAGTAGCTTACCTGATTGCCTCTGCATCTGGATGACTTAAGAGGCTGCAGCCAAATTGAAGTTAGGCAGTGAATTTGGACTCTGAGAGAAAATCTGTACGCTGAGGAAGGCAGAGCTGAAGCAAAGAGGCTGGGTCCCTGGTATTGTGGGGTGCAGCCCCAGCCCTGAACTAAACTGGGAGGGAGAAATCTATGATCTTTTAGCCACTGCTGATAGGGAATCTCCCGGGACTTGATTTCTACAGAGAAGTACAGGAAGGACTGGGCCAGTGGTATATGCCTTTAAACCCAGGACTCAGGAGGCTGAGGCAGGAGGATTTTTAAAAGAGTTGCCCGTCTCTGCGGGCTCTTTGGTACCTTCCTCCTGCTGTCCTGCCACAGCAGGCAGTTTCGAAGGAGTGTGGCTTCAGTTCAGCTGCTGCTCCTGACAGCAGCCTTGAGCGGGAAGAAGAGACACGATGTCCCTGCCTCAGGCGCACTCACTGGCCTGGCCTGCTGCCTGCCCTTGGACTCAGGTCTGTGGCTGTGACCTCCAGGAAGTGCTCTGCCAGGGGGAGGGGGGCAAGATCCCTTGGTTTTCTTTCTTCCTGTGCCTCCCAGGGCAGACATTCCAGAAAAGGCAGCGGACAGCCTCTCACCTCACCTCCCTGGCCTACGGCCTACTCTACAGGCCCCAGGGCTGAGCCAGAGAGGGAGGAGGAAGCAGCTGCCTCCTCTGAAGATCTCACAGCTTCCAGGGGAGGAGTGGACTGGGAGGAGAGCTTGAAGTGGAGGCTGGAAGGCCCGCTGGGAACCCTAAGGCAGGGCTAGGTGGGAGCTAGCAGTGGGGAGGAGATGGCTGAGCAGCAACGGGGAAGAGGGTGCAAAACAGGTTTCACAGGAGAAGTGAAAAAATCAACAGCTGTTTGGCAGTGCACAGCAGTGATTCTACTGGCTTAGTGAAGTGAAGGAGTAGGTTTGGGGTTGAAGGATGAATCTGACGCTTCCCACAAAATTTTATGAAAATTTTCAAACATACAGAAAAGTTGAAAAAAAGTTATACAATGAGCACTCATACCCACCATTAGCACGCTACCAGGAACTGTTACTAAACTTGCCCTCATCTGCTATCATCCATCCATCGGTGTTTGGATGCATCTCAAAATAAGCCGCGGGCACCAGTCCACTTTACCCTTAACTACTTTTGCAACATTTAGAGTTCAAGTGAGATTTTTTTTCTGATTATGTAAGCATTTCTTTTTGGATTTAGAATTTTTTTTTATTCCATTTACCTGTTAGTATTTAAGTTTTCAGGTATTTGAATAAGCTGTTGAGAACATTTGCCCATTTAAAAAAATCAGATTTGCAGTCATTTAATTTTGCTCATGCTGATTTTGCAAGGATTGAGAGGCAGCTAGCTGGAGAGCCCAGGAGGAGGTTACATATGGGGTGGGATGGCTCTGGAGGGACCCAGAACCTTGGTGCTAGAAGTGTTGATTTGGGGACAAGAGCGGAGGGGCCAGCTGGGTCCGCTTGGGGGGCTGCAAGCCCAGTGTGCTGAGCTGGATGACGGTTCCTGACCATTAGCATCACCTGCAGAGATTCTCTGAGCCATCCTCATGCCCAGGCCAGCTGGCTCTTCTGTGTGGTGGGGTCTGGGCACCTGAGTTTTCCACATCTGAGAGGACTCCAGTGGCAGCCAGGATCAAGAACTACTGGGTAGAATAAAGAGGCTTCAGAATGGAGTGCAGGGAAGGACTCTGATTTATGAAGGAAGTAGAGGAGAGGTCGGAAGATGGAGAGATAAAGACAGAGAGAGGAATGAGAGCACTGGGCCTGGCAATGACTGACATCAAGGGCCCAGAGTGATCACACATTGAGGACGAAGTAGGATGTGAGACCTCACAGGAGAGTGTACCTGAGTGTCAGGGAGCAGCCCATTGGTGGGGACAGAGATGTCAGAACCCGCTCCTGCTCCCCCCTTGCCTCTCCCCTTTGCTCTTCCTGGTAGACATCAGCTAGTAAAGATGAGTGACAAAAATTAAGGAAGGTCTTATTTCTCCAACAGTGGGCCAGCAGACTGCCTGCACCAAGATCCATGGTGGACTTGGAGTTGCTTAGAACCACTCCTATTATCTATCATCTATCTATCTATCTATCTATCTATCTATCTATCTATCTACTTATCTATCTATCTATCATCTATCACCTATCGATCATCTATCTATCAATCTATTTATCTATCCTCTATCTATCCATCAATCTACCATCTTTAGCGTTAGCTTACTTTTGCAATTCTGGGAACCAGATCACACAGAACCCCATCCTCAGTCCTTTTTACTTTCCAAGACAGGCTCTTTGTTAAGTTTCTAATTTGCCAGATATCTGAGTGAAGCCAGGCACTGGCAGCATGGTGGTATGCACCTAACATCCCAGTACTCTTGGAGGCTGAGAGGAGTTACAAAGTTCAAGCTCAGCCTGAACAACTTGGAACTTAGTAATACCTGTATCAAATAAAGAGGGCTGGGAATATAGCTCAGTGGGAAGGATCTGGGTTCAGGATTTGGGAATCCTTCTCGACATACACATAAAAAATGTTCACATGATTCATGCATGTTGAATTGTGGTGGCAGTCAAGCAGTTGGGACTCAGGAAAGTTGACAGATGGAAGAAATTAACCATCACTTCTACCCACCGCCCTTCACTTCCCACGACACCAGAGCCAGTGGCAGAAATCTTCCTGATGACGACAGCTACATAATTTACCAAGTCCAGTGCAAAACACAATGTAGGATCTGCTTAAAGAATCATTAAGACTTTTAAGATGGTGACAGCCATGCTAGGGCCCTTTGAATGTGGGGTGATGTGTAGTGTGACTGTACAGGTCCTCCACCTGTGAAGCTGACCAGGTGGTCACTCATGCTAGTCCACCAGATACAAGTTTCGCTTTGCTTTTTTCATTTCCGACCATTATAATCAAAAGCTCCAATCTCACATCCTTTTTGAAGTTTATTTTTTTCTCAGTATGCAAATAGAAATGGTTTCCAATGGCTGTTATTCCAGTGTAATTTTTTTCCAAAAATACAAACATGTATATGTCTGTGAAAAGGTGAATGGAAGCTCTACAGGGGGCAAGACAGCTTGTGCTCGCTTATTTTATTGACAGTGTACAGATTTTTTGATATATTGCATTACAATACTGACTGCTAGATTTCTCAGGAAAGTTTAGTTCATATTTACTGTAGGTTTTTCTTTACAATAAAAGTAAACTCATGCCAGCGTTTAGGAACCAGTAATATCAATTCATTCCAATTTGATGACAGTTTTTATTGAACTAAGAATCTCATATCACAGAGCATTCACAGTGCAGGAGGCCACAGGTATTGAAAAAATAAATAGCGGCATAAATATATTTATTATTTACAACTTTCTGACCCATTGCTCCTGCTCTGCCTGTCAAAGAGAGAGAACAAAGATGGCGGCACTCGGCCCAACTTGTCAGCAATGTCTTCCAGGGGGCCATGTGTGGACAGCCCCAGAAGCTGGATGGGTTGTTTATAAGGAGGTTCTGGCTGTACCTCAAGAAGATCCAAACACCCTGGAGAAATCTTGCCAGCCTTCCCCTTCACCCTGCTTGGCCCTCGTCTTGGAGATCCTGCCCTGCCCTGGAGCTGGCCCCAGCTGGCCAGCAGCCTCTTTCCTCTCTGGGCAATCAAAGCTCTCTTTGTGTTCAGACATCAGCAACTGCTCCCAGCTGGATGGGAGACACAGGCAGAGGCGCCCTGCCAGGGAATGAGTGCTGTAAACTGGAAGCCCGGTCTTATGCATGAAGCCTCCCCACCCTATGGAATCTCCAGTCACCGTGGCCCAGCCATGATTCTGTCTGCTGGGTTCCCAAATATCCCTAGTGTGAGCCACATGGCAAAACCCAGAGTAGGTTATGGGGGCTCTGGCGCTGAGGGGCCAAGATGCGATGTGAGGCAGGGTCCCCAGGAGCCAGAAGAGTCCACCAGAACATTGGGGAAACAGCAGCCTGGCTCACAGCCAAGTCACCCTCAGAAGGAGGAAAGGCCTCTTCCTGTTGGAAGGCAACTCTACTGTGGTCTGGGACCCTCCCTTTGTATATAAACCCTGATTATTCTGAAACATGCATCTAGAAAATCAAAAGTTTCATGGTCCTTCTCTTTAAAAAAATTGTTTTCCAGTGAGCAGATGCAAAGGTTACGTGCTTTCTGCAGGACTGAGGGTTCCGTTGGCCTTGTAAATGGAAAAATCCCAACTAACATGGTGCATAAGGAGCAACTGTTTGGATTCTGGCAGCAGAGTGGGAATAGGTGTGGGCAGACCTGTCAATGGGCTTTTAACGAAGGAACAGTCACACCCCAGCTCGGGGACTGTAACGGACAGAAAAGCCACATAGACAAGGCCTTGACCTTCACACAGGCAGTGTGTGTTTTCACCTCTTAGAGACGCATCCCACAGCCCCCTCTCCTGTGCCAGGGCATTCAGGCTGTAAGACAGAAAGTTCCTAGCTCCTGCTAAGAAGCAAGAGGAAGACACACAACCTGAAAAACTAGAGACTGACACCATACGAGTTGCAGGGTATCTTAATAACACACAGGCAAACGATGACACAAAGCAGGGCTTGTGTTCTTAGCAGTGTGCGCCTGTAAATGTTTGACGATTCAGCAAAGACAAATGCAACCTGGAAGCCATTTGCCATTGAAATTTTTTTAACTCCTCCTAAAACATTCAAAGCTCTAAAATCACTCATATGGCTTGCCTGCAAAGACAGCTCCCATGTGTGGAAGAATGGGAATAAAGAACCCTTCTCTAATTTGTAAATAGACATCCACTTGCTCACCCTAGGGCAAGAGTGGCTCCCCGATGTAGTCCACCTCAGGTGTCTGGAACACACCTGCTAACTGTCTACAGGGAAGGCTGACTCCATGGGAATTGCTGGGGAGCAGTAGGGAGCCCGTGGGAGATATCTGAGATGTGGAGGCCACGCAGTGTCCACTGTGCACTGGAGACGCTGGAGCTCTCGGACTTCTCAGCTTCTCAGCTGCTGACCTCCAGGGGGAAACTTTAAAAAGTAGAACAGGATCCCACTGTTCTAGTATCTTAGCCCCATGAGCCCACTGCACATTCGGGGAGGGAGGGAGCGAGTGGAAAGCAGCCTCGGCCTGGCTCTGGGCTCCTCGTCTGCCTTTCCCAGGGGGAAAAGAATGGGCCTCTCCTGGTCCCTCCTGCCCATGATCCTCCCCCCGCATTAAGGCAAAGGAGAGGCCATAAGATTCAAGGCCTGGAGACAGCCAGGTACAGGGCAAGGATGTACCGATACTGTTCCAAGGCCACCTGCTGGGGTTCCAGCGCTCTCAGGTGTAGCAGCAGCTGTGATCAGGCTTCGAGGCCTCACCAGCAAGGAAGAGCAGGTGCACAAGGAGAGGGCAGCCCAGGATGGGGGTTTTTGGGTCAGGATCTTTAGGGCTGCCCTTGAGTGAGATGCAAATCTCACCTGGTTCAACCTGGCTGTGGGGAGGTCTGTGCCTTTACAGTGCTGGGTTGGCAAAAGCTGGGAACAGCCAGAGAAAAGCAAGAGGTTACCCTCACAAGGGAGGAGGGGAATGAGCAGGCGAAAGTCACAAGGGCAGCCAGGTCTGTGCACAAAGCAGAGACACAGGAGATAGGCAGACGAGCACAAGGGACAGCAGACTAGAGACTGAGTTCCAGGAAGGATGGGGCCGGGGAGGGGATGAGGCTGACCTGCCCACAGTGCTCTTGACTTTCAGGCTCTCAGGGCAGCTGACCCAGAATGATCCCCAGGGCCAGGATCCCAAGACACTGCACCCCATCCACACCAGAGTGCTCAGGCTGGGGAGGGTAAGTTCCCAATCTTTTGAGGTGGGGACCACCTGCTCCTGTTTTATAGACATTCGCCATCAGAGTGCAGTGCTTCATTCTGACTTTCTGCCTCCCTCTGGAAGAGTTACATGCAGTTTTTTAAAAACTATTTTTGTAGCAGAAGTAATTACCCCTTGCTAATGAGCTAATTAGCTGTGGGCATAAAATAAAGGAAGTAATCCTGCATAATGGTGAAAGCATTGTTTTAAAAAGTGAAGACTTAAGTTATCTGGACCTTTGCAGACTTTTTTTTTTAAATCAGTACTGGGGATCGAACTCACAACCGCCTGCTTGCAAGGCAGGTGCTTATGCTGCTGAGCTAAATCCCCAAGACTTAAATTATCAAGGAAGTCTTTAAAGTCACGATGGAAAAACATTTAGTTAAAAACAGAATTTTTTGACTATACTGTACATATAGTTTCCTGGATATAATAAATGCATAGAGCCTTAAGGAAGTTACATTGGCACATTGAAGTCCAAAGGAAACTAGCCAAGAGGAATACACTACATTATTAAAAATATAATTTTTTTAAACCTCTAACTGCAACTGCAGTATACTTTACAATCTCAAATGGATTCCACAGAAGAAGATGAGAGTAATTGGGAAATATTCTCTGAAAGTTATACAAGGATTTCAGAGAATTAAAAACCAGCAGGAAATTCTTCAGAGGCCATGTGACCTATGCCTTGTCATAACTAAAAGGAGGTTTTGGTCTTTTGCAGGAAAAAACAGGAAGCTCAGAGGAGGACATCTCCTTCTCTAGGAGATGACCTGGAGAACCAGCAGCCAATTAGGTGTTTGATGAGGTTTTACCCCAGACAAGGGCAAAGGCTTGGCCCTGAATAGCCACACCCGACCCCAGGCTGGACAACCGAGTGCCCTGGCTGAGCTGGGAGGGTGCTGGGCTGATGCCTGGCCCAGGTCTGCTACTCACTGGCCAGTAACTAGAACCACTTGACCTCTCCAAGACTAAACTGGTTATTAAATGGAATAATCCCTACTTGTATCACAGCTGTTAGGAGAATCAAAATGGAAACAGAAGAATTCAGAACTTGCATGAGTCTGTGAAACAGAGGGGTGTGTGTGTGTGTGTGTGTGTGTGTGTGTGTGTGTGTGTGTGCCAGGTGACCGAAGCTCTCAGCATACATAGTGATCCCCAGTGGCTCTGAAACCCTGCACAACTACAATTTATCCCAATGCATCTATGGGCTCCTTCCCTTCCTGCTTAGCTCATTTCTTAGGAAAATCACTCATTTCAATTTGAAGATTGCTGAGCCCCATATCCAGCAAGAAGGTCTAAAAGTAACCCTTGACTTGGTGCAGCTACTAATACTGATGTGAACCCCGAAGAGAAGCTGGGAATGGGAATGAGGTTCCATGGTGGGTTCATGCTGACAGGAACTTAAGGGACACAAGCTTGCATACTTCCTCCTTTGGAAATTCCAGAGGCCTTAAAGGGCATAGTTAGAAATTCCAATGTGGGTGATGAGTCCCACATCTCAGGAAGGGATTAACTGCAGGATTTAAACTCATCATTACCAGTTTAAAGCAATTTCTGGTGAATCATTCAAATCCTTTCTTCTCACATCATTATGGGTCAGTCCCATGCCTTCTTTTGTGCAAAATATCTCAATATTAAAAGTGCTTCGCATCTGATAGACTTTTGCAATAGAAACATTAAAAAAATAAAAAAACACTCTATATAAAATTAATTTGTGCTTTCCTTTTAGAACCCAAGAATGGTTTATGTTCATAAATCTTTAAATATATATATTTTAGAGCTATGAAGAAGCTAAATATTGTTTCATATTTTCTATCTTGTTTAAATCAACCCCCACCCCCACTTTCATGTGTAGCAAACTATAAGGTTCAAGAAACTTAGCTCTAAACATGCTAAAATATGGTTTTCATACTTGCCTTCAGCTAACCAGAGAGCAATTTGGTGTGTTTCAGGAAATCTTTCTTCTTGTCATGAGCCATCGCTTCTGCAATTTGTTGGGCATATAAACAATTGGGTCTCTCCGCAGGTGATTTGGAAATTAGAGCAATAACAAGAAACAACATGCTTGGAGGGACAGTGTGTTGCATCATACAGAAGGTCTGGAATGTCTAGCCGTAAACGTTACAGTTTACCCTACCGTGTCTCTGAGTTAGCACCTGATTCCATGGTGGTCTTTCACCTCTTTCTAAATTCCAAACCAGAAGTCTTAGAGTCAAAGCAGGATGATACACAAAGGATTCACTTTTTGCAAGGGTTACCTTTTTGGTCCCATCATGATCCTTTTGTGTGGAATGATGTTTTTCAAGTATGATGATCTATATGATGTTTTATTTTTAGTATTTCATTGCTTGTTCTCTGAATGCATCAATAAAAAGGATAATAAGAGTATTTTGTTTGTGTTTCTCTCTTCTGCTGGGGAAAAAAAGTTTCCATTCTTCCAATTATTTTTTTCCAGAAAAAGGAGCGGAAAGTCAGCCATCCTGGTCTCAAACCCCCAGCAGGCTGATGCCTTGCCTCCTCCAAACCTCAAGAGCTGCCAGCTGGTACCATGTGCTGCCTAAGGGGCTCACCCTGTGACCCAGAGAGGTCACTTGAGAGCAACTGCTCTGTTTTGCATTGGCCCCAGGAGACCTCGCACTCACTGACTGCCTCATGTCAAGGCTGTGCAGGTGACAGAAAGAAAACTGCACGCGGAGGCCCTCTGACTACAGTGTGCGAGAAACAAAGAGACACACAGCCCTGGGGCTGGCAGCTCAGGGGTCTGCGGAGCTGCTCGGCTCAAATGAACCCCCAAACCTGCCTCGAGTGGGGCAGGATTCCAGGAGGCACGGACGCCCAGCAGCTGGCCTGTGACTACACAAAGACCACAATGGCCCTTCCTTCCAGCTCATGAAGAACAGACGGTGGCTGCCCAGGCAGGACAGACCTGTGGTGGGGAAGGAGAGAGAGAAGAGGTCACCAGTGTCACAGGTGGCTGAAACAGCTCCCGGGGCGGCAGCTCCTCTTATTCGTCTTCTTGACACATGGGCAAGTTGACGAAGGTGAAGACGTTAAACTCTATCATTATGGAGAAGCACAGGAAGACGGCGTAGAGGACAAGCACATAGATGCCCAGCTTCCGGTCCAGCCGCCATTTGTTGAGGTGGATGCCAAGGACCTGGGAGGAGAGAGCATGAGAGCTGGGCTTGGGGCCAGCAAACAAGGGCTTTGGGGCTAAAAATGAACATGTGTGTTAACAACCCTAGAACTTTCTGCAGAATGTGAACAAGAATGAATGGGCCCCACCACGCTTATCTTCAGGTTGACCAGAATCAGCCCCAAATATGTAGACTTGACTACATCAGGGTACGTTCCTGGGAGGTTCTACTGATCCCAGGACACTCAAGGGCCACTGACCCTCCCCGGGCAGAGAGGTCACTTCTCAGGTGCACATGTCCCAGGCCTTCTCTAGGGTTGAACGGCTTTTGTCCTTTGCATCAGAGTATTGTGGTCTTTTTCACTGAGCAAATTATGCAAGGCTCCTATAAGCCACTCTTGGCAAACTGCATCTTGGATTGTCCTTTTCTGTGCATATTTTGGGAGAAGAGGGCACACTCCTACTAGCACTTGGGAGAGTGGACACTGGACCAGGTACCAAGAAGAAAAGAAGCGGAATTCCCTTCCCCTGTTAATATCCTCTCTGCTCAGTGGTCGTGAGTTCTCCTGGCAAAACTGTGTTTAGCTTTGCCCCTCCCTGACAGAAGCACATGACGGAGAGGTGTCTGGAGTCATGCATGGGATGGGGCAGAACTGGACACCAAGCAGCACGCATGAGGGTTCTAATTTTGAAGCCCAAAGACTCACAGTGAGAGCGACGGAGCCCAGTAACAGCACCACGGAATACACCAGACCCCGGCTGTTGATTTTCACCTGGAAAATTAAACACACGCATGCGAATCTTGGGGCAGCTTCACCAATCTACTCTGAAAGCCCAGTGTGTTCTGGTTTGCTCATCTCCTTGTCAGGTAAATATGGAGGCCTCAGGTAAACATGGGGCTGTGGGGGATCAGGACAATGTGGGTGCCAGTCCAGACTCTGCTCATCTGAGGACCTGGCCTAGAACAGGGACAGATGCTGGACAGCACTGAGCAAACCTTAGAAAACAGTCTCCTACCTGGAAACACCCTTAGGTTACCCAGAGAGCTGTCAAAGAAAGAGGGCAGAACTAGGCAAATGCCACTATTTTCTATAACATGCAACTTTCCTACTTCCTTATGCAGTAAAAGGAACTTACCGTGGATCCATAATTAATAACCATGGTCTGCAGGCCCCACGGGACGCCGAGTCCCACTAGGATGTCAAACACGTTGCTTCCTATGGTGTTAGAGACTGCCATGTCTCCAAGGCCTGGGGGGACAATCAACACATCTCTTTCACCAAGAGCGGGCCACTGAAAACCAACGTTCTGTCTTATAACTGTTTATCAATGCGGTTGCTTAGAAAGCGATTCCATCTTCACAACTCTGCATTTCTAAGATCACTTTCTGAGGTCGGAGATCTATGCCCTTCATGAAACCTCAAGGGCCCTCTTATTGTGAGTCTCAGAATTCAATGTGCAAGTCCTGGAGTTCTGTACTGCTGTAAGATGTGACCATATTTGGAGGCAGAGCCTCTAACAAGGCAGAGGGTAAGGATGAGATCATTAGGGTAAGCCTTATCCAATCGGTGTCCTTGTGAAAAGGAGAAATTTAGACACAGACAGCCCACAAGAGGAGTCCCAGTGAGGATGAAAACAGCCAAGGAGATGGTCAGGAGAGGGCCTGGGAAGGCTTTTCCCTCTCAGCCTTAGAAACAGCCAGCCCTGCCTACTGCACCTTGACCCTGGACTTCTGACCTGCAGAACTGTGAGATGACACATCTGTGCTGCATGCCACCGAGCATGCAGTCAGGACAACCTCAGTGAATGAATCAGGTTCGTCAGCTCACATTTTCTGAGGCAGCACCATGAGCTTGGCCCGGTTTCATCCTCCTACTTACACCAAAGGGGATGGTGACATGATCCTCAGGCCGAAGGTGATCAAAGGCACACAGATTGCAAATGGCTCGGTCTCAGGACACCTGGCCCAGGATCATATATACCCAGCCACATTGCGTATTTGTGCTGAGGTAACAGCACCCACGGCGTTGGCTGAGATAACAGGGCATCAGATCTTATGGTCCGATGGTTGTGGAAGGGTAAACTATCTTCCTTCAGCCAGACTGGAGACATCTCAGGGGCTTTGGCTATGCCACCATTCTTCTGGTTCCTACCTAACCACCCAGCATCAAGTTAGCCACACCAGAGGAAGACCTCGATCCCTTGAGAGTATTAGAAAGTAGACAGCGAAGCTGTCCTCACCAGTCTTACGACGGCTGAGTCTGTCCCACTTGAAATGCCTGTCCTCAGCTGCACACACACAGCCCATCACATCACCCATCACATCACCCTGGTAGCTGTAAAGCTGAGGATCGCTCCAGCCAGCCTTGGAGACAAGCGGCTCCTCTCTGTCTGCACCTGTCCTGCTTGCGTGCCAGGCTACCTCCTCCTCCCGCCCTGTCCTTGTTGCTGTTGTTTGCTGAGCCTGGCACACAAACTTCCAAGTTGGACTGACACCCTCCTCCCTGCCTGCCCCAGGTGCTTTGCGGACAACGGCACACTCTCCGCAGCTTGGTCCCTTGAGCTGTCAGCTCCCTGGGAACAGCCTTTCCAGGGTCCAGTCTGGTAAAACATGGCAACAAGTAGTAATGCTCGGGAGCTGCTACTGTCCCCTGGTGGGAGCTCAGGGTGAGAAAATAAAGATGGCTGAGGGCGGACAGAGGAAACGAGCTTCTCAGGCTAGCAGACTCCCCGTACTGCACAGGCAGCCACGGGGCTGTGTGGCCCACGGAGGACTCAGGGCAGTGACTCACACTTCTGTGAGTGTACAGATCATTCAGGGGTCCAGTTAACTTGCAGATGCCGATTCAGTGCGGCCAAGGCAGGGCCTGAGAGTCCGTTTCTCACACGTGCCCAGTTCAGCGCCACCTGGGCCACACTGTGAACTGGGAGCCTGCAGGGAGCCTGGGGCCGGCACGCATGGTCTCCTGCTCTGTGCAATGGTCTCTGAGCAGAGTTTCTGAGCCCTTTGTTGTAAAGAAACTGTCTAATTCTAATCATGTCTGTTGGACTCTCTATCAGCCACATCGGTGTCACCCTTATGCCCGCTTACACCCTCATCCCAGCTTCATCTCTCGACACCCACAAACCCCCTCGGCCACTGTGAGATCGTGTCCTGTCCTTTGCTCCTAAAAGAGACTTCACTGACCTTACTGGGGCCCCTCAAGCCTTATGCTTCTTGCATCACGACCTTCCCCCTCACTAGCTGTTTGAACTATACACTTTTTTGTCCTTCTGGCCAGCCACTGTGTGCCCCTAGTCGAGGATGAACTCATCACCTGTGTGCCGCTGGGGCTGGTGTAACTGACCCCATCTGAGTTCATGCTGCTGAACACCAGACAGGCCCTCAGCACACACTGGCTTTCCCCTCACTCACTGTACTGGGAGGAAGAGCCCTCAAGTCATGTCTGCCCAGAACCTGTGACAGTGACTTTATTTGGAAATAGGGTCTTTGCAGATGTCAACACATTAAGATAAAGTCACACTGGGTGGAAGAGATGACAGGCAGAGACTGGAATGGCGGTCAGCTTTGGGAACCAGGAAGAGGCCAGGAGGTTCCTCCTCTTTCCCTGCAGGAGAGGCCCCGCCCACACCTTGCTTTCAGAGCTGGGAAGTAAATTTAAGTTGCTCTAAGCCACCTAGTGGTCATGGTTGCTCCAAGAAATCAACACACTCCTCCAAGGTTACCCAATTAAACCCCATTCTCTGAAAGGCACCTGCCTACCACTCAACATCCGCACGGGCACGGGCTTCCCCACCCTAGACCTCCAGATGCTGTTCTTCCTGGAAGATCTGTGGCAGTCCGTGCTGTGATGCCACCTCACTGGCAGAAAAGCAGCCCAGAGTCACGGCCAGACTGACCCTTCATAGCTCCTGCTCTGCCTTCAGAGACTGTAAATTACCACTCATGCTGTTCCACCGGGCCATTTAATAAACCCCCGTGAAAACAAAGCAAAGGATGCTGTATCTTCCAGCCATTAGAAGAAGAATGGGGGAATGGCTGGATTTATAAGCAGCTCTTTTTGCTTTTCTGAGACAGGGAGATATTTGCTACTTGAAGTCTGGGCTTGGGCTCTGTTCAATCTCAGGACACGTTCATTTTTAGACAATCACCCAAGAAAAGGATTCCAAAGATCTAGAAAGGTTCATCTCATGTTGGTCGTGTTTTCATCACAGATGGAATCTAACCCATGGCGCTTTAGACTCATGATCTCCCTCATGGCAGACTTCACAACCTGGTCACCGAGTTTAGCTGGGGAAGATACAGGGTCAGCAGGCTGACGCCAATGGCTGTGCAGACCAGGGCAAGATCCATACCTTGTCTGGCCACGATCAAGCTGGCCATGCAGTCTGGAACACTCGTGCCCGCGGCCAGGAAAGTGATACCCATGATGACATCGGGGATCCCCAGTGTGTACCCGATGATAGTCACCTGCAGGAGAGAGGGGTGGGCGGCACGAACTGACAGTGGAACTCCTGGGGGCTTTCCTTACCCTGTGTGCCCTTCACTTGAATGTGGTACCCAAGAAAAAAAAATCTGGAATATGACTTTTTTTTCCTCTGGTGACATGAGTAATATGGGTTTATTAAAACGCTTGTAAAATAACATGGAAAAGAAAATAAAAATTACCTTCCATTTCTCAAGACCCACAGAGAATCTGCATTAACACTTCATTTTGGCCTGTGGTTCTCAAACTTGAAAATATAGAAAGTCTCAGAGAAGGCTTGTTAACACGCAGACTGCCAGGCTGCTCCCCTAGACTTCCAGGGTGAGGCCTAAAAGCTTGTATCTCTGGTGAGTGGCTGTGGAAGGTCACTTGAAAATTATTTTAGACTGTACCCTGACCTTGCTTTTGGTATATGTGTTAGAAAAAAATGACATTAGCTTATACTGCTAATATCTATTTTGTAGTTACACAATGTGAGTACAGAATCTTTGTCTATGACAGATTTTAAACTGATAATTAGATTTCATTGTAGAGTTGGAAAGGTTTCACCAAACCTAACTGCTATGTATTGTAGATGACCTCTTTTTTATTCTTACAGCATTGTTCGCTGTAAGAACATCTGTTGAGCGCTTACAGTGTACCAGGCAATTCTCAAGGTGGCATACTTCTTACAATCTCATGTGCTTGATTATTTACTGCCCATTAATGAGGGAGGCACCTTAATTATAACAACTGACACTCCAAGAGGTGAGTAACAGTGCCCACAGCAGACAGCTGGTTAGCAGTGGAGCAGGGATCCAAGCCAATGCATCCTGTCTGACATCCCGAATTCAGGTCTCTCTGTTGTGCTGTTTTGGGCATCTATCTTTGGCTTATCATCCTGCTACATCCTTAGGACAAATTCCGAAGGACAGAACTCCTGTATCAAAGGATACAGAGGTATTTTAAAGATCATGATGCCCGTGCCTGGTTGCTGCTGAGAGATGGTTAGGGCCCTGGGTAGCAGCCAGATGGGAAGCTCTGGAAGCATTTGGGCTTCTCCAGTTCACAACACTCCTCGCCTCTCTTCATCTAGAGATGGGGAATGAGCACCCCCAGAGCTGCCCTCATCTCAGCCATGGGCCCCAACCCCAGTGAATGGCTATGTGTCCTGGATAAGCTAGCATACTTCTCCGAGCCCTACAATCCTTTATGGGCCTAATGAGGGTGAGATAAGAAAACATAAGGTGATAGTGGCTGGCTGTGCCAGATGCTCACAGCAGTATGTTTGTCTTCTATTTCAATCCTTTGTTTGTGATCAATGGGAAGAAAGAAAGTAAGGGTGATGAGCTTCACAAGGCTCTCAGGCAGCCCCGGATGAACCATGGCTTGTAAGTGCAAAGCTTAGCCCTGGCCTGCAGCCAGCGTGTGTGGGCCCCACACTTCTCCACTGGCACCATGCCCAGCTTGTTTACAGATTTCTATTATCAAGGCTCTCCTAGGCCCTCAATTGAGGCCATCTGAAGTTCAGCAGGTCAGAGTGTCCCGTTAAGTGGTTCCTATGACCCCAGGCCAAGCAGAGAAGTTTAAGAAACAAGGAGGGGGCTCTGCATTGTGGTGTACGCCTGCAATCACAGCCCCCAGGACATCAAGCCAAGAGGATTCCCACAAGTTCAAGGCCAGCCTGGGCCACATGCTGAGTTCCAGGCCAGCTTAGTGAGGCTCTGTCTCAAAAGAGAAATTAAACAGGAAATGAGGGTGGGATCTGTAGGTCAAGAGGGTGTGGATGGGAGTGTTCTAACTGCTTGCTAATTAGAACTGATTTAACAATCCTGTTATTTTCATTAATTAGAGAAGAAAAAAATTCATACATTTCTTAATTGATCTTCCTAATTCTCATATCTACTCAAATGTCATGATTTTTTTTTGTCTTTTTCTTTTTTATCGGTACTGGGGATCGAACTCACGACCACCTGATTGCAAGCTTATGCCGCTGAGCTAAATTTCCCTGTTGTTTGGGAATACCTATTACTAAGAACAATTGGATCCTTTCCTTAAAATGCAAAGATTGGCTGGTCTCTACGTGAAGAACTAAGATGTGAAAATTCAATGCATTTAAAGTGCAGTTTTTATTATCACCTCTTGCTGGGCGGCTTTGGACAGTAAAGAAATGGGGACGGTAAGCAGCTGGAGCTGGCTGGGCGCAGAGCCAGGACTCGCCCTGTGCCAGCAATGGCAGGCTCCCCTTTTCTCCCGGTGGGCTTGTAAGACTGGTGACCACCCCACTTCCGAGAGGCGCTCGCCCTGGTTCAGGGAGTTGAGCCGCTTGCCCAGGTTTCATGGCTCCTCTGAGGTAGAACCAGGACTCACACCTTTCCTTGCGCGCCCTCCTCTTCTGTCCCCACAACACTGCACCTTTCCTCTGGAGCTAAGGGACAGGGGGCTGCGTGCCTGTGGCAACTCTCCCGGCCTGGCTGCCTCTCAGGTCAAGAACGAGAGCCATCTCAGCCCCTGGGTCAGACATAGGGAGGACAATGCAGTGACTCGAGGTCAGCCATAGAGGCAGGGGTGGCTGGCGGGGCCTCCTTCACCATGGACTGAACCACAGTCGTGCGTGACCATGAGCCTCTCTTGCTCCTCACTCAGAATGAGGAAGAGAGGGCTCTGAAGGTGGATCATAGAGCACAGGGGAGGGGCACTTGCATGGGCCAGCACATCCTGGCCCAGTCAGTCAAAGTTCTGAGCAGGAGCTGGCATATGTGGTCAGAGGAGCTTACAAAAAGCCATGCCAGCACTTCTTCACCTGCAAATCGTCTGTCTGATGGCATCTGAGAATTTCAGTATTGAAGTAACTGGCAGCTCAGGACAGCGGTTGAGATGATGGACCCGGAGGCCAATGCTGGCAACCCATTCCACCTCTAACACTCACTAGTGGGGAAATCTTGAACACATTGCTTTCCCCATCTGTAAAATGGGGACAATAAAAATGCTTGTCTCATGGGGAGTTGAGATGAGATAAAAAGGCACTTATATAAGTGCAGATAGCATGGTACTGTGCATCCTTGTGAGAACCCTTTCTCCAGAGAAATAAGCTGCAGATAGGTCAGCAGCTTGACCAAAGTGGACCAGCAATTCCCATGATGCATTGAGCCCAGTCTTCCTTCATCCACCACTGCCCACTCACCAGCCACACCATGAGGTAGGAGAAGACGGCGATCCACAGAGTGGCGGTGACGAAGGTGACCATGAAGAACCTCTCCCAGCGGGGCTTGCTACAGTTGGGAATGGTGATACACAGGAGGAAGATGAGGGGCCAGGTGAACACCCACTTGGCCTTGTCCCCTCTGGCCTCTGCAGGAAACAAAGGAACAAGGAAGTAGGGGAGATAAAGACACTGTGTTACATACCTTCTTATAAAAGAATGCCACTGATGTGACTCCAAGCAACTGGGGAATCACAGACTTCTATCATGTCATGGAAGCAGACGGTTGAGCCTGTGCTTGTTGACTGAATAACTTTTATCAGTTCAAATCCTTCATCTGGCACAGAACCAGGGAACTGCAGTGGAGATGTGGACAGTGGATGGGCTTTGGAATCAGACAAATTTGATCTGCAATTCAAGTGACCTGGCACAATCACTACAACTTTACTTCTTCCTCTGATGGTAAAGTTTACAGCAACACAAGAGCAACAGAACAATAACATGCAGAGTACTGGCCACATGCAGGACAGTGCTGAGTACATTGTATCTGATTAGTTTCTTCACCTGTGAACCAGGGACACTATCTCTGTCTGTGCAAGAAGATGTGATACAGTGTACATAAAACACCAGGCACACAGCTAGTACACAGTAGGTGGTGTGCGAAGCTCAGCTCCTTTGCTCCAAGGTTATGTAGTCAGCCTGCAGCAGAAGCGAGACTAAAATGTGGGTGTCCTGGCTAGTGCTCCCCATCTTACTGGACCCTAACAAGGAATCCCCATTGGGAGAAGTGGCCTCATTAAGCCACTAGATGCAAACATGGTGCACTTAATGAGCGCAGAGCATGTGTGCCCGGACGGCTGAGGACCAGGTTGCTGGCAAAGCCAGTGAGCGTGGACAATTGTCTTCACAACGTGGACAAAGGTGGGAATGGCTAAAATCTCCTTTTTCAGAATTCTGGAAATTAATCAAAGGTTGAAAGTTTACTTCAGAAAATCAGCCGGATCTCGGTAAGACCAGGAAGCTCTGTAGCATCTTAACTTTCCGTTCTCTGTTCCCTTCCACCTGCTTAGGAATAGCCTTGAAGAGCCGCAGTGCCAGGAAAAGGAGCAGCCTGGCAGCCACCGGAGGAGGCAGACTGGGCCAAGTGGGTTCATGTGTCCAAACTGTGGGTGAGTATGCTCTAGAAAGAGCCTCTACAGGTTGTCTCTGTAATGCTTTTGGTGGGAACATAAATTTAACAACCACTACGGCTATCAGGTTAGAGATACCTAGAAATTACATCTGACCTAGCTTACAGGCACCCTCTGGAAAGAGTTAAAGGCAGCATCTTACAGCACACGTGCATACCTGTATTTATAGCAGCACAACTCAAAACAGCCAAATCTTGGAAGCAGCCTATACATGTCCATCAACAGGTGAATAGACATGGAAAATAAGGTGTTTATACACAACGGAGTGCTGCTGTGCTATAAAAACACAGTAGGAACATTTGTAGGAAAACATTTGTGGGACAGGGGTGCACCTCGAGACCATAATGTTAAGTGAAATAAAATCAGACACGCAAGCTTAGGTATTTCATGAGTGTAATGAAAACCCAAAGTAGAAATAAACTGAAGAGCAAAATAAAGGACAGGTGACAGGAAACAGGGAGACGGATCCACAAGTGGGAAGAGGACTGAGAGATGGAGGGAGGAGGAAGGAGAGGAGGAGAAGGGCACGTAAAAAGAATTAAGCTGTGCTATGTACATGTGCTGACTCCTTATGAAGACTGGAATCATGTACTGCAAACATGGACTAATAAAAATAAAAGCAATGAAAGTCTCTAAGTGCCCTGTTTGCAAAGCATGCTGGGTGTCTGTTTCCACAGCATGATTGTTACTCAAGCTCTTGGGTGGTCACTGGAAGTGCCCACTTCCATTTTCAAGACGACTCTCTGTTGGACCAGAGATCCCCAGTGTGAAAAGTCTTTTCTCAGGTGTTCGAGGAACGCAATCAGAGGCAAGGATTCAATCCCGGTGTCTGAGGTGGAAGACAGCACCCGGGGTGAACGGGAGGCTCACCAAACACATTAGGAGGAAAAGCTGGGGAACAAGATCCAGGCTGGCAGGGGCCTCTAGGGCAAAGCTCCCATCTGCTCCTGGGAATCTAAGGGGCCCTGTGCACCGTCAAGGTTGCATGCGTGCTGCTTGCTTCTTAGCAGAGACCGGCGCCCACCCTAAGCTCTTATCTCAGCCTCAAGCACGGTAAGGCTCGATCAGAATAAGGCAAATGGAAAGCGTGATACAGAGCTGCAAACTGTACAATGACAGCAAAATGGTGGTGGTGGTGGGAGACCCAGAGTAATCCTGGGTAATCTCAGCACTCTGGGAGGTTGAGGCAGGAGAGTTGCAAGTTCAGGCCCAGCCTGGGCGACTGAGTAGCTTAAGAGAGCCCGTCTCAAAGAACAACAAATAGCATAATAAAAATAACAATGGACCCTAGAAGGGGGAAGAATGTAAATCCTAGAGCTGTCACACTGTACTACGTAAGATGCCCAACTTTCTATAACAGTAACAAAATTATAGGATGTACAAACTAAGGACTGCCTGCCTATACAGCCCATAAACGCCCACTGAGGGAGACTAAATGTTGAGTTTATTAGATAAGCTTTAAATTAGCTGTTTAAAAATACGTTCAAAGGAGCTTTTTTAATGTCTATAAAACAGAAGTATGAGAATGATATCTCACCCAAAAAAATCAATAAAAATAAAAGTGATTTCAAAAAAACAAGTAGAGAGGCCGGGGATGTAGCTCAGTGGCACAGCACCTGCCTGGCAAGCACAAGGCCCTGGGTTCGATTCCTGGTACCAAAAAATCAAAACACAACAAAACAAGCAGAAATCCTGGAATTAAGACAAATAATAGCTAAAACAGACGATTCATAAGAAGGGTTCAATAGGCAGAAGAAAAAACTGACAACCTTGAAGGTAGGTCATTTTAAACGCTCTAGTTTGAGGAACAGAAAGGTAAAAAGAATGAAGAAAGGTAACTGGGATTTTAGAGAGCTGAGGGTGTTCTCCAGCTCACATGAGGGGGTTACAGCAGGCGACGAGGGAGGGAAGCGGGCAGGAGGAAACTCAGAGAATGTGTGCTCAGGAGGACTCCGAAAATCTGATGAATCACATTAAGACACAGTCTTCTCAAGTGTACACAGAACGTTCTCCAGGACGGGCCATACGTTAGGCCATAAAACAAGATCCTTTGCATTTCAAAGGACTGACATTACGCAAAGTATGTTATCTAACCCCAGTGGAATGAAATTAGAAATCAACAACAGAAGGAGAACTGGAAGGATCACAAATATGTGGGCGTTAAATAGCAGGCTTCTCAATGACTTACAGGTCAAGAAGAAATCACCAGGGAAATCAGAAAACACTTGGAGATGGAAGCAAAAACGCAACCTACTGAAACTTACGGGATGCCGTGAAAAGGAGGCTTAGAGAGAAATGTGTGAGTGTAAATGCCTGTATTAAAAAGGGACAGATTTCAAGTCAGTGACTTAAACTTCTTGAAAAAAGAAAAAGAATGCAAGTAAAAGAAAAAAGCAGAAAGAAGGAAAGATCATGGTAGAAATAAATGAAATAGAATACAGAGTATCAGTAAAAGTCAGATTTTGTTCTTTAAAAATCTGATTCTATTTATACAAAATGCCCAGAACAAGCAAATTCACAGAGGCAGACAGTAGATCAGGGGTGCTCACAGGATGCAAAGATGAAGGGGATTTGGGGTCACTGCTGCTGGGCATGAGGATTCCTTTTAGGCTAAAAAAAATGTTTTGGAAATATATATTGATCAGATTGCATTAAGTATGAACGTATCAAGAAAAACACTGGATTGTACCATTTACGAGGGTAGATTTTATGGTATATGAATTTTTAAAGTTGCAGCGTAGGCTGGCACTAGCTGTTTTAGTTCTGTACATCTGTGCTTTTTTTAAATCTTCCTAAATAATTAAAAGTGCATTTAGTAAGAAAAAAATCAATCTGCTTATAATGAGCCAAGAGAATACGGTTAGCTAGCAATCTGCAAATCGGTCTCTGTGTGTATCCCAGACTCTGTACCTAAACAACGCCCGTCGTCCTGGATCTTTCTGGACCTTGTAAGACCTGCCCAAAGGTAGAATAGTTTTCTGCCTCACTGGTTTGTCCAAATTCCCAAGGTGTCCCCTTGCCAGTCCACATCCCAGCTCCACCCAGAGGAGTTCCAAGAGCATGTCTGGAACCTCTGCACAAAGGGGAAGCATTCAATCTGGGGAATGTGGCCCTGGACTCTGCAAACCAAGGAAGCCCTTCACAGATACACACAAAGGCAACAGGATGGAGAGTTTCTCACATCACAGTCAGCGAATGGCATCAACTGTCTTTTTGCCTGGTATGGGTTTTGCATCCGGTTTTGACATCCACCACCAGCTTAGCCCCACCCATGTGGCCAGAATCACGTCTTGCCCCGTTTCCCAGAAAAATTCCTCCAAGGGACCCCTTCCACAGCCGAGCTCCTCACCGTGGGCTGAGATCCACCAGGGGACTGAGAAATTAAGGAAGTGGATGGCAACTATCACTGTCTCAAAAAAAGACAGAAAAGATTACAGCCACTCCACACAGCGAAAGGTAAATGTTAGTGCATGAAACCTGCTTCCTTCCCACAGATAAGCATGTGTGCACACGTGTCCGTGTGCAGATTATTTATGACTGGGGTCATGGCCAAGGTACAGACACATTCATGGGTGGCGCCCTCTCTTGGCCCCCTTTGTTTCTTCCACATTGTTTTAGTTCTGCGGCAAAGCCCTGACCCCAGCCAGCCCATGGCAACCTTTCCCTCCTACAAACCCCTTGCATTTTAAAAATATTTAGGAATTACTACAGCTCTGGCCTTGCCACTTTTAACTAACAAATGAACAGACTCTACACACCTCTCCACCTCTCCTGGTTGGGTGCCAAAACATCTGGCAATGGCTCTTGGGGCCTCCTACATTTGTCTAGCAGTGGATTAGCAAGAGGTGATACATTGTCCTGTGAAATTTGGCATTTTAATGACTGCTTTGTTACCTAATTGCTCTAAATGGTGAAATTCAGTGATCCAAGGTCAAGGGTGAGACCAGCCATGACGAAGT